TTTTTTTTTTTTTTTTGGAGTGGGTACTAGAGAGTGAACCCAGGGGCTCTTAACCACTGAGACACATCACAGCCATTTTTATTTTTTATTTTGAGACAGGTTCTTGCTAAGTTGCTTAGAGCCTTGCTAAGTTGCTGAGGCTGGCTTTGAACTTGCAATCCTCCTGCCTCAGCCTCCTAAACTGCTGGCATTACAGGCTGGCACCATTGTACCTGGCTAGATTTAAATATTTTATCAGTGGAAATGCCTCCTGGCCAAGGCCCCTACAATAAGGAGATCTGTGTTGATGAGTGTAACACCAGTGGAATGGGAAAGCTAGCTCTAAGAACCATAGGGAAGAGGAAGGCAGAGTCTTGAATCTTAAGACATGGGGATACAATTCTGTGAACAGACTAAAAAGTGGGGAAATTGTGTGATATGTGAATTATAGCTCAATAAAGTTGATATATTAGAAGAAAAAAAGAGAACTAGAGGGGGTTGGGATTATACCCAACTACAAGGTTAGCAGAGAAGTAGAAACTAGGTATAGGCAGCAAAATTTACAGACCTGAGAATTTAGATAAATATGGATAATTTATAATCTTCACTCCTTTCACCTTTCCTTACTTTGAAACTGATTAATCATTATTTTGGGCACTCCAATTTGTGAGAACAGGACCTAGAGACTTGAAAGAGGTACAGGACTCTTCTTGCTCACAAGCCATCCTGTGGGCATCATCTCTTGGGAGTAAGGACTCCCAGATTTAACCAAAAAGCCTAATAGCCTCAGACTTGCTGGGAATCAGACCTCAACTCCTGAGAAGAGAAAATGGCCATTCTGCCAGACTCTGAGCCACCACTAGTCTCATCTACCACAAGGAAATGACAGTCCCAAAGATTCGAAAAGTGAAAAGATTGTAGGGGAAAAAAAGGAGCATACCATTAGTCTTCAGGTATCTCAGGTTACTTTAGATTTCTACATGAGTTAGGAGCTGGTAAAGCAAGGGGCTAATGGAGAAATTCTCTCCCAGGTCTTCTGCTTTCTCATTCCCTTTCTTCTTCTTCTTCTCCTCTCTTTTTCTCCTCTCATATATGAATATATTCCTCAGCTTACAATGGGGTTATACCCCTAGAAACCCATTGTAAATTGAAAATATTGTAAGTCAAAATGCACTTAGGCTGCGCCTGATGGCACATGCCTCCAGGATCTCAGGAGGCTAAGGCAAGAGGATTGTGAGTTCAAAGCCAGCCTCAGCAACTTATCGAGGCCCTAACTCAAAATAAATAAAAAAGTGCTAAGGATGTGGCTCAGTAGTTAAGTGCCCCTGGGTTTGATCACTAGTATTGCCTCCCCACAAAAAAAAAAAAAAGAAAAGAAAAAAAGAAAGAAAGAAAAAAAAGACAAAAAGAAAAGAAATCACATTGTAATGGCATTAAGGGGTGGGGCTTCTGAGAGTTTATTAGACCATGAGGGTTTCACCCTCAGGAATGGATTCATGATGGCAGGAGTGAGTTCCCTGATAAAAAGAATGAATTCGGCCAGATTCTGTATCTCACACATATGCGCACTAACCCTTTTATCAGTGTTATGACACAGCAAGAAAGCCTTCACCAAATGTAGCCCTTTGATCCTGGGACTTCCCAGCTCTGGAACCACAAGCTAAATAAATTTCTATTGTCTATAAATTACCCAGTCTGTGGTATTTTGTTGTAGAAGCAGAAAACAAACTAAGACATCAAACCTCATAGTCTAACAACACAATACACTGAAGAATATCAGTGGTTCATTCTCATGATCTCATAGCTGACTAGGAATTGTGACTGGGAACTGCCCAGCAAATCAGATATCAACGGCCAGAGACACAAACCAAATTTCAAAACTGGAAGTGTGCATATATGCACAGCACTTTCACACCACTGTAAAGTCAAACTAGAAAGCTGGGAACCATCTGTACTCTTTCTCATCCTTTCTCCCCCTATTCCTTTCTCCATGGTGTATTACTGACTTACTCCCATTCTCACTCTCTTCCTCATTCCCTTCTTCCTCCCTCTTCTCTTCACAGAGACCTGGGTGGCCTCTCCAAAAAGACTGTTTCAATCTAAGGGCAGTGAGTTTTCTGCAGGAAATCAGGGCCCCAGTCAAAGCAGCCTTTCCCCGAACAACCCAACATGGCAATAGATCTAATGTTCACATGTGTTCATGTGTGCCCTCTGCATATGTCCCTGTTGATTCAAGAGAATGATAGGGAATAATCTTCTCAAAGGTACAACTCTATGTGCCTTTCTATCATCAGAAAAAAATTTATTAGTAGGAGCCCTTATCCTAACAATGGTATGTGACTATAGTTCTAACTAGTCAGGAGACTGAAACAGGCATTCTAGGCCAACCTGGAGACCACATCTCAACAAAACAAAACAAAGCCCCTTTTAAGATACATAGTGAAATGCTTACAGATACAATGATATGGTGTCTGGGATTTGCCTCAAAATAACACAGGGCAAGAAGAAAGCAGGGAGGGAACATAAATCAAACAAGATTGGTCATAAATTATTAACTGTTGAATTAGGGTGAGGAATACATGGAAGTCTCTGTCAAATTATTTTTTCTACTTTATACATTCTAGGACAACAGGGAACTAGCTCATTGGGTGGACTCCATGGGTCCGACTAGGTAACAGCAAGGATATTTACGCCCATCAGGATGGCTATTTAAAAAAAAAAAATCACCAGAAAATAGTAAACTGTTGATGAGAATGTGAGAAACTGGAACCCTTGTGCACTGTTGTTGGGAATATAAAATGGTATAGCCATGGGGCTGGAGTTGTGGCTCAGTGGTAGAGCACTTGCCTAGCATGTGTGAGGCCCTGGATTCAATCACCAGCACCATTTAAAAAAAAAGGAAGGAAGTAGACATATATTACAACATGGGTGAACCTTGCAGACATTATGCTAAGTGACATAATAAGCAAATACTGAATGATTCCACTTATATGATATCCCTAGAGTAGGTAAACTAACAGAATAGAATGGTGGTTGCCAGGGGTGTAGGGTAGAGTTGTTGGATGTATACTGAGTTTCAATATGAAATGGAGATGGATGATGGTAATGGTTGCACAAACGTGAATTAATATACTTAATGCCACTGAACTGTATACTTTAAAATGACAAATTTTGTTGTATTTTAGCACAAAACAAAACAAAACCCAAGGAACAGAAAAGCTCTCTTGTGTCCAAAACTCAGCTCTTCAAGGCCAGCTCAGGTCAGCCTAGACATCATACCTTAGTGAGGTTCTCAAAACAAGGGTGTGGTGAGCGTTGCTGGGGGAGTAGAGCTGCGGAGAAAGGAAAAACTACCTAGGCACATGGTCTAGTGTCCAAACACCACCTACGGAAAGAAGAAAAACAAAATGTTTTTTAAATGAGTTTGAAGGTAAATGTTAAAGTTAGGAAAGAGAGTTTAAAAACTAATAATAATCATTCCAGGGAAGACTCTGAGAAAAATCTCCAAACAATTAAAAGCAGGCCCCAAAGGCAGTCAAAGAATAAACTCTTCCCAGCCCCAGATCTGCTCCCCTCCCGCTATCATCATGCAGAAATTCAGAGCAGACTCTTCCTAGATTCAAATCCCAGCTCAACTGCTTACTAGCCATTTAATATTGGGCAAGATGCTGCACCTGTATGTCAGCTTCCCCATATATAAAATGGGGCTATTAAAGAGATTCAGTGAGTTAATATTTGTAAAGCTCTTACCATACTGCCTTTCACACAGCAAATGCATGTGTTTATGAAGTACTCTGCCACCAACCCCAGTAGCCAGTAGGCTTTCCTTTACATGTCGTCAGTGTGCCCTGGTAGCTCACTGATGGGAAGCATGCACAGAGGACAGAGAGGCAAGGCAAGTGAAACCAGTTTACCCCTCTACACAGCTTCTCTGCCAGTGCTCAGGATGCCTGATAAAGCTGAGGAAACAGAGTCAGGGGACAGGGACAGGTGGCAGGTAAGCTGAGAAAATCAAATAAGGTGGGAGAGAGGCAAAGGGGGTAAGCACTGAGCAGATGAGAATAAGAAAAGAAATGGAAAAGCTGCAGGGCACCATAGTGCATAATAATATAATCCCAGCAACTCAGGAGACTAAAGTAGGAGAATCACAAGTTTGAGGCCAGCCTCAGCAACTTAAGCTCTAAGCAACTTAGTAAGACCCTGTCTCAAAATAAAAATGGCTGGGGATGTAGCTCAGTGGTTAAGCAGAATTGGGTTCAATCCCCGTTACCAAAAATAAAGTAAAATAAAATGGGGAATGGCAGAACCCATTTTTCTGAAGTAGGTAGTTTTTAGTTGTGACCAAATTGAGAATCACCTTGGGAATTTTGGAAACTACTAATCCTTGCCAATGATCTATCAAGATTCAGATTTAACTGGTCAATGTTCAGAAAAACAGGCTAATGCTGTCAGGTATATGTATTCACAAATAACAGAATCAAAATCTTACCCTTGAACTTTTAATTCTGCCCTTTTTTATTCTAATCCTGCATTCTTAACCTCATCTTTGTCTTAACCTTGCCAGACTAGCATTTAGTTTGGGTTCTAAATTGGAGATAGAGACTTTTTAATTTCACCCCCCTGGCAAGTGCTCTACCCCTGAGTTACATTCCCAGTGAGATATAGAAAATATTAACAGAAAAATTTGGAAGGTAAGAGAAGGAAGCTGGTTATCCCAATTCTACAGAAAGGAAATAGGGATAACTTTTCTGAAGTTTTCCTTTTCTTATTCACATCTTCACATTTCAAAACATAAACTAACGAGCAGACACTATAATGTCTAAATGAGAGGAGCCTGGATGTGTCTTGGGTCTATTGTTCAATAGCAAATAAGTTCAGAGGTGCTCCAAAGAGAGTACCTGGCTATTTACTCCAGGATCACTTCAGTGCCTCCAGCAATAAGATTCTGTAAGGCTATGCAGATAGTAAATGCAGCTAGTCTGCAGAGAGGAGCTAACAATCCTGAGCATCAGGCTTCACTAACCCAGGATGGCTTCTTCTCCCAGATTAATTACATACTCATGGGTAGATGTATGGGAGCTTTACAGTTTACAACTATTTCTATTTCACAAGGTCTTACCAGTGAGTGAGCTAGGACTAGCTCTCAAATGAGACCTCAGGGCTCCTGCCTGCCTCCAAGGACCAAGTTGCCCTGTACTTGCTCTAAACTGGGAGGTCAGTTTCACATTTCACATTTCCCAATACCTTCATCTTCCCATACTAGATAGGGCACAAATTTTCCTTCAATTTGGTATTGAGACATTTGCTCTAGCCCTTGCCATAATTATGACATACCTTAGCATGTTGTAAGACTAGGATTAGAAAACATTGTTCTACAACAGTATTCTAGATTAGAGGTTTTTCCAAGATCAGAAACATCAAGGATTTTCAGAACCAAGGAGACTTTAGGAAACTATTGAATTTAAGCCACTTACTCTACAAACAAGGAAACTGAGGCCCAGAGACATGAGGTAATCAAATTAGAAACGGTACATAAACTGAAAAAAATAGTTTTTATTACTGTGGAAGATTCCTGTTATTCCTAAGTAATAGGGCCCTAAATAATCTTCCCATCAGAAGGGTTGAAGTCTCCTACTCAGTTACCCATTCAAATCTCTCCATCAAATATCCAGAAAAGGGTTGATTTAACTCTTCAACCCAGTGATCCTCAGCCCTGCAAGCACAATAGAAACACCTAGGAAGCAGACCATCTTCAGGGTGGGCCTCTGCTCCTGTACCTTCTTTCCCTCACACTATTCCTAAGCACCTTAAGTACTCTGGCCTCCAGGGCTTTTGATTAGTCCTCCCTATTTGCATGGCTCTCTCTCTCTTACCTCCTTCTGACCTCAACTCAAATATCTTTTCATCAGTGATATTTCTCTTTTTTTTTTTTAAACTAGTGATTGAACCCAAGGGCACTTAACCATTGAACCCAAGGGCACTTAACCACTGAACCACATCCCCAGTGCCCCCCACCCCTTTTTAAAGTACTGGTTTCAAGCTCTTTTTTATATTTTATTTAGAGACAGGGTCTCTCTCAGTTGCTTAGGGCCTTGCTAAATTGTGGAGGCTGGCTTTGAACTCAAGAACCTCCTGCCTCAGCCTCCCAAACCACTGGAATTACAGGCATGTGCCACCAGATCCAGCTTTCTCTGACTTATTTATTGTATTTATTTATTTTAATTTTTCAGATGTGCTATCATTATATTGCCCAGGCTGATCTTGAACTTGCAATCCTCCTGCCTCAGCCTCCTGAGTAGCCAGGATTATAGCTGTGCACCATCTTCTCCAGTTTGACTTATCCAATAAAATAGGAAATCTGTCTACTAAACCCCTATCCACTATCCCTGCTTTATTTTTCTCCATATATTTTTCACCATCTCTCATCCTTAATATTCTTCTTGTTCATTGTCTATAAACTCACAATCACTACAGTGAGTTCCTTGAGAGGAAGATTTTAATTTTGTTCCCTACTCAGTGTCTGGAATAGCACCTGGTACACAGCATACCCTCAAATATTTATTCAAGAAATTAATTAAGGGCTGGGGTTGTGGCTCAGTGGTAGAGGACTCGCCTAGGGCATGCCAGGCCCTGGGTTTAATCCTCAGCACCACATAAAAATAAATAAATAAATAAATAAAACAAAGGTATTGTCTAACTATAACTAAAAGAAGAAATTAATGAATACATCATAAACAGCAATCTTAAGACATGATTTGTACCAAAAAAATTAAAAATAAAAAAAATAAAGAGGCTAATTACACCAAAAAATCTCTTCTCCACTGATTCCATCTTGGGAAAAGCCTTTTTTTAAAACAGCCTAGAAGTCTAACAAAAGAGAAAACATTCAGAAATGAGCGTTTCCAGTTGATTAATCCAACTCAAATGGACCTATGAGTTGAAGACAATTTATCCTGAGAAACAGAAAAAATGAAGTTAAAAGATGATAGAGGGATTGAGGCTGTAGTTCAATGGTAGAGCCTAATGAGGCCCTGCGTTCAATCCCCAGTACCATCAAAAAAAAAAAAAAAAAAGGAAAGAAAAGAAATTTACTCTTCTCTACATCTCATCCATCAATCAGGAAAAATTATGAGGGATCTGTTTTCTCCTTTAATGTTTCCTTTTTTTTTTTTTAACCCTGGGCATATGTTATTTTTAAATAAGACAAAAAAATAACAAAAACAATCTTCCCAACCCTTGCATGCTCCCCTCAAATTCTACCTCTGTTACAAAGCCCCTGTACCAGGGCTAGCCCACTCTATACCCCATTCTTCTGCCAACAGGACCATCAGATGGGCCCAGTATCAGCAAGGAGGTGTCTCTGCAGCACTGCCTGCAGAAACTGATTTGCATGAAAAGTTTCTTTTGCTGCCTTCACTTCTCTCCTGTCATGAAAGAGTGTGTCCCTTCAGACACCCTTGCCCCCAGGTGTCTGCCTGGGTCCCAGTCTTTGTTTCAGTTGACTTTAATTAATTCCTGGTAATTAAAGCTACTGATTGCTGATGAACTACTAAGAGTATGACCTCTCCCAAGGGGTGTAAATATTTTAAAAGAGATCTCTAAACTGGAAAGGCAAAAGTCTTAGACTTAGGAATAGAGTATAATGGTGGAATGGTAGGTCCTGGAGTTCATATTTTGGCGACAGGGGATCCCTCCTACTACAGAGTGCAGGCACTATGGGAAACAGTGTCAAGCAGAGATAAGAGAAGTAATGAAAGATGAGATTACATCACTGCCACAACTCCTCCCAAATGGCTGTTCAATCCATCTTTATACTATAAAATGTTCCCCAAATGTAACCCCAGTCACCTCAAAGAGTGACCTGTGGTGAGTAGCCACCATCCTCAGAAAGAAAGCCCACTTAAGACACTTTTGGTCTAGAAGCAAATTGTTCTCTAATTGCTTTCAGTGGAAGAACCCCTGAGGGCAAAGTTCATCTCACTTGATTCTTTTATGCTCCACAGAGCATCAGCTCTGAGTTGGGCCCAGGGTAGGCCTTTCACATCCAACTGTAGATTACAGATCAATGATGGCCCAGTTGCAAAGAGGCCCTGTAGAATTTTAAATACAAGTAATTCTAATTAAGAAAACAGTAATATTAATCACACATGTAATATTTTAAGGGCCTGAGATTTATAGCCTTAATGAAATATTAGACAATGAAGTTTTTACAATCTCAGCTAGTTTGATTTAGGCCTGGAGTTCTGTCTAACAAGGATAAGACAGTAAGCAGTCCATCCAAGCCCAGAAGAATTTGAACAGCTGCTCAGTGCCCACCCCTCTGAAAATGCCAAAGCTCTGCCTCAGATGTGTTTTCAGACCCTGGAACAGCCCGGAAATGGTTTG